CAACTGATTAATTTTCTTAACTCGGTCTGTGTTTCAGGAACCGAATGGGTCCAAACGTCGAAGGTCCTGGTCCAATGGTTGGTCCGTCCGTACCGACCATGGTGAACATCGGTCCTCATGGACCTTTTGGACCCATTGGACCGTTCGGACCTCAATAAAGTAGAAAAGAAAGATGTAACTCGTTATGAATTCTGTAATGTAATGAGTTTCTATTAGTAAACTTTTGTGGTGTATTATCGAAAATGGTTTTTTCGACATTCTCAGCTACATATATTTGATCCAAAGTGAAGTTCACTTTCCATTATAGGCAAACTTTTAATTTAAAACGCATCTGTTTCAGTCAGCGTAGGAAGCAATGCCCATTACCATGATTTTTCGCGATATAAATACGTGCAGAAATTCAGAAAGGTTATAAAAGACTGTTCGCATGATGATGGTCTTCTTGCACATTGGCCAACACAAAGAAAGTTTCGGTTGCAAATATGTATTAATGCTGTTCCGGCAGCGCTTCCACCCGCGGTCTAGCGGCAGTACCTCATTCAACAATTCCTCAAACAGAACTTCCCTTAGAACTATTCTAAAATGTATAAGGTTTCTCCTGACACGGCAAGCCCTATAACCACTGAAACAGCTGAAAAGCGTTCACTGTATCTTTCTATGAGCCTCTGTCGTAGGTCTTATCGTAAGCCATTTAAATGGTCTTGAAACGTGACTGCTTACTGAAATCCATTCAAACTCGTCCGAAGGAGACATAATTTAACTTATAATTGGAAATATGATTGGCAACTAAAATTACCAGAATTAAATATATCATTAAATTGATTTTACAACGATATTGCGGTTGTGTATGCTATCGTAGGTGCAGCGAGAAGCCCTTAGGATTTTTGAAAAATATGAATAAATCAATATGAAGGCCTAAAAGGGAAAATTCGTCCTCAACACTTTCTTTCTTCCGTATGAAATCGCATTTGGTCACTTCGGCGATACGACAAAGGTGTGCAGGATTATTGAATTACCCGACCTACGGCAAAAGGGCAATACACATCCTGGTCAATTCAGAAGAATGAATATCTTTGACTCATAAGTGAAACTTTCACTGGGTTTTGATTCAAAATATGGGTTTTCACGTCGAACACAATAAAGATAATTGAAATATGACTAATAGCCGTCGTTCGCAATATAATTTTGAAAATCGATTTTCGAATTGCTAAGAGCACTGATGCATATTTTCATTCTGAGAACAAGGTTATTGATTTCAGTTATATACTCGCTCTTTCACACCTAACGGATCGATACACAGGACTTATGACAAGCAGGATGGCTTCAGTTGATCGTGCTCCATCTGCCTATTTGTTCGGTGGCAGATAAACTGCAATTTAAGTCTAGCCGAAGCAGCATTCCTTTTAAAAATCATGATAATGACGCTGAAGGCTACAGTGCGGATTAGCCGGAGGAGATGGAAGAGTACCAGC